CATTTCAATAAATTATTTATTCATGTAATTATTTTATATATTAAATTTAATTTTAAAAATTAATTTTATTAATAAATAAATATCATTTTGTAGATTAACTTGTCATAGCTTAGGATATATATAGGATTAAGTTTGTAATTCAGTATTCAGACCTTCTCTTGCCATTTTGTTGCTACAATTCATGTTACTTCATTTTAGTCGGGTGGCTGCCCCCCCCGTCCTATATTGGCTCTGTCACTAATTGACGGATTGATTGGAAAAATTTGCTAAGATTTTTCAGATGAATGCATATACATGACAGGAAGAGATAAAACCCCCTACCTTCTAATAAGAAGACTTAGCCGATAACATTAATTGACTATAAAAGTTTGCAAAGGAGATTGAAGAACACAGAACTACTACGCTTTTGAGTTGATTACCTCCATTCAAATTTAAATCCTCAAATCAGGTAGGGAACTCATAAATAGCACTAATGCTTTTAGATAGGTATTTTTCTTATAATTACAAATTGTATAAATTTATAAACACTTCAATAAGTCATTTGTTTATGTAATCATTTTATACAATATTAAATTTAACTTTAAAAATTAAATTTATTAATAAACAAATGTTATTTTAGAGACAAGCTCGCCATAGCTCTGGATATATATAGGATGAAGTCTGTAATTATGTATTCAAACCTTCTCTTGCCATTTCATTGCTACAATTCATGTTTTTTTTTTTTTTTTTATCCATCACTAATTGACCTAGTAGCCATCCTCTAAGAGGGACGGTGTTTAGGATATTAAAGTTCTCAGTTCAAACCTAGGCACTCACTCCTCACCCTCAAGTTTCTCCAGTTCCAAAAAAAAGAAAATTCATGTTCTTTTTTGTCTTCTTTTAACAACGTGCTTTTAATGTTACGATGAGTAAAGCAAATGCTTCCCTTCAAGTTTTCCACAAAACGAGAAATTTAAATAATTAATTTAATAATTTTTTTATATTAACCTTTCAGTATCCGGTAATCATATTGAGTCTCAACTAATCTGGGATCAAACCGCATCGGACCCCATTAGGAAAGAAACTCTCCCAGTCCCAGTGCTTGTTTCTCTATTCACATGACCCGAACTCGAGATCTAATTTAACAAAAACTGAGTTTTTTCCACTCAGACCAATAAATCATTAATATTAATTTAATAATTAAATGTGAATAAACATCAACATAAGTCCCGAATATTTTACTTTTCACACATTAACTATCATTATTGTGTGGAAAGTAGAAAATTGTAAAACGATGCTATAGGGAGGGCCAATCCATCACCCAAATAACTTTCAACAGGAAGCAGGACACCTTCCTCTTTCATTTTTCTTTGAGATATATAATAATTCCAAAAAGTGTGACTACAATTTTTTACTTTCCACACGTTAACAGTCATTAATGTGTGGAAAGTAGAAATTAGAAATTAAAACGCGTTATTGAGAGGGCCCATCACCCAAATAACTTTTAAAAACAAGCAGGACACTTCCCTCTTACTTTTTTCTTTTTCTTTATTTGCTTTTCCTTTTCTGAAATGTATCTGTAATGCATTTACTAAGAAAAGGTAAGTGATGAACATACTGATATGTAACTAACAAGAAAACTTAAGCAAGGGTCACCATAATGTTCTCAATCCGGAAAGATTGACTAGGGAAATTTGCAAAGACTATTCAAGTGAGCTTAAGAAATTCGAAACTACCTTTTTTTGTTAGTTGATAAGCTCCATTCAAACTTAAATCCTTGAATCGAATAGGGAACTCGTAAATTGTTGAATTTTGGGGTTAGAAAACAAATTATTGACTCCAAGACATACTGTAAATATCATTTTTCTTTAGGCTATTTTTGCTTCCACCATTTTAGTATGCAAGTTTTATTAAGAATTGCTTATTTAAAACCAATAAATATTCTAAATACCTAACAATGACTCAAAACCAAATTTACAAAAACTATTCAAGTCAATGTGTGGTGTATGCATAATGCTTAATAAAAGTATGCTGTCCTACGAAATGACTTTAAGCTACAAAAGTTGACGTGACTTGAAAGATCAAAGCAATAAGTTAATTGACAATGAAAGGAGATTGTTCACTTTAAAGCACTCAATCCGGCTAAAATGGTTGAATAAATTTGCAAAGACTATCCCCAAATTTAAGATAAAGAAATTCATAAGAATTGCTTATTTAAAACCAATAGAAATTTTAAACGTGATAACAATGGCTCAAGACCAAATTTGCAAAGCTTATTCAAGTCAATGTGTGGCGTATGCATAATGCTTAATAAAAGTATTCTGTCCTACAAAATGACTTAAGTTAGAAAGGTTGACATGACTTGAAAGATCAAAACAATAAGTCTAATTGGCATTGAAGAAAGACTGATAACTCTAACGCACTCAACCCGACTACAATGGCTGAATAAATATGCAAAGACTATCCCCAAGTCAAGATAAAGAAATCCGTAAGAATTACTTATTTAAAACCAATAGATATTCTAAACTTGGTAACAATGGCTCAAAACTAAATTTGCAAAGACTACTCAATTTAGGATTAATAAATTCATAAGAACCACTTCATTGTGAGCTTATTCATTTCATTCAAAATTAAATCCTTAAACCTAGTAGAGAACATGTATATAGCACTTATGCTTCAAACTACAAACATAGGTACTTTTTACAAAGTTACAACTTACACAAACCCAAAGACAATTCAATTAATTCATTTATTCATGTCTCACTTCATACATTAAATTCAAATTCTAACAGCATTCCTAGGCAAAACTGTCCTTGCTCAGTACAATATAGGAAGCAGCAAGTGGAGCATAATGTCAGA